GGGCGCCGGCCGGCCCCGCTTTTGCTGCTCCCGCTGCCGGCCCGAGCGCGGGGGCCCGCCCGGGGGCAAAGGGCGGAGCGAGCCGGGGCCGGGGCCGGGGCCGGGGCCGGGGTCGGGGTCGGGGTCGGGCCCAGGGCGGGCTCCGGCTCCGGCCGCCGCCACCCACACAGGGCACCTTCCCCAGCCATGTCCCCCAACTACATCCGGAGCTTCTCGGAGGGATGTGTGAGTACGCGGGGCGCGCCCCCCGGCCCCGACGGCAGCGGGTCCGGCCCCAAAAATCGCGGGGGCCGCGCAGCACCCCCGGCCCCGCACACGGGACAGCGGTGCCGCCCGGCCAGCCCCAGCACGGCGGGGCAGGCGGCCGGAGCGGGGCCACTGCCGCCCCTTCCGGGAAAACTGAACTGTAATTTGCGGGAATAAGTATAGTTCGAAGCATGGTTAGGTTTGATGGTGGCGCGGCGGTCCGTGCTTCGCCATCACCTGACATCATGTGAATGAATCAGTACAACAGCAAAACGAATAGACTTTGGGTCGAAGCGCTCAGCTCCGTCTGGCGCCTTCTGCAGCAGCAGAATACAGATAAAGGCAGTGAAACAAATGAACTGGCAAGTGCTAGACAAATTAACGTTTTTATAAAGTTAGTAGGAACAATAAAATGTTGTGAAACATTATCTTTTTAGAGAGCTACTGCACCCTTCATAGTCAAACTGTCTCCTTTAAAACAAGTAGAATAAAATAAATATTTTGGATAATGAAAAAGAGCAAGTAGACCTCCAACAATAACACTGTTCATTTTTGTTTTTTTATGTTGAATGAACCCTCTGATTTGCAGCTCAGGCCGCCAACAGTAATTGGACAATTCCACACGCTTTTTTTTGGCTCAATTCGAATGTTTTTTCTCGGTGTTTTGGGCTTTGCTGTTTATGGAAATGAGGCCTTGCATTTCAGCTGTGACCCAGACAAGAGAGAGGTTAATCTTTTTTGTTACAACCAGTTCAGACCTATAACTCCTCAGGTAATTATCTTTTTCTGTCATTTATTTCATGGTTAAAATCCAATGTAAAGAAAGTAAACTGCAAAAATTAAGACATGATTGTTCCATGTAAGTACTAACTAACTAAGCTAATTATCACTAGCTTTCATTAATATGTTCCTTTTAATATCCCTTTATCTGTGACTAAATATGGAGCTGTGCTTCCTGTCCTTCAAAATAATCCTCATTTTTCAGAACCCAACTAACTTTTCAAATCAAAACATAACTGCTTTTTACCTTTATTGTCATCTAAGTTTTTATGCATTTGGTATATATTTAAAAAAGACCGGCAAAATGTTCCAATATGCATGTGTTTTAGCTGTTCCAAAGCAATTGTAGATGATCTGACAACTACATTTCTGCTACATTTTAGGTATTCTGGGCATTACAGCTGGTGATTGTACTGGTACCTGGAGCCTTTTTTCACCTTTACGCTGCTTGTAAGAGCATCAAACAGGAAGATATTCTCCAAAAGTCATCCTACACTGGTTTTTATATCTTTTCTGTTTTCTTAAGGATTGTCCTTGAAGTTGTGGCTTTTTGGCTTCAGATTCAGCTCTTTGGTTTCAAAGTGAACGCAATCTACATGTGTGATGTGGGAGCACTTGAAAAAAAGTTTAACATTACCCGGTGCATGGTGCCAGAGCACTTTGAAAAGACAATCTTTCTTATTGCGATGTACACATTTACCGTGATTACAGTGATCTTGTGCGTTGCTGAAATTTTTGAGATCTCATGTAGAAGGCTAGGTTTCTTAAAAACTCAGTGATGTCAACCACTCACACTCATTTACTGCTCTGTCCACCTGCAGTTTTGTAACAATTATTTCAAACCACAGCAAAAAACATCTCCTGTCCTCTATGCAGTGCTGCAGAAGAGAACTATGCTCATGATTACTGAGGCAGAATAGTCACTTGACATAAACTGAGGAGGCTAAACACTTGCACACTATGAAAATAATCTTTGTTTCCATGTCAAGGTCAAAGGCACCCAGATCTCCAAGAGTGATATCTTTTCATGACCTGCCACCTATGATAATTCTGCCTCTAGAGGAGTGTCTGTGTGTGAGGAGAAGGTTATTTATAAACATACTTCTATTCACAGCTTTTCTGAACACATGCCATAGGAGTTAATAAGGTCATTGCCCTTCCAGGAAAAAATATTGCAAATTTCTTACATGTTCTTATGGCTTGAGAATTGAACAGTAATAGTGGATACTCTCTGGGTACCAGAAAGCATTCCAGCATCTTCCCAAGAAGTGCCACTGAGATGCAACCTGCCCCCAGGGGCAGAGACTCCTGGTTAGGCTGGGGTGACAACATATCCTCAGATACCAGCTTTGCAGAGGCTCAGCTACTGTCACCTGCTGGCTCAGAATCTCCTTTTGAAAGTGAAAGAATAGCATTTTAAAATAGGTATTTTTGTGCTGACCACAACGCCTCATTATGTTTTGGCTTAGCATGTAGGAGATTTTTACCAATTCAATATGATCTGATTTTGAAGGAAGAAAAGGGCTTTTTAACAATTTTGCATAAGCAGCTTAAAAGTGTCAAAATAAAATCTTGGCGAAAAGCCTTTCCTAGGCCCAATCATGATTTGATTTCAATGCACTTTGCTTGTGTGTGACTGCAGAATTGGGCCCACAAAATTTTCTGCTGCTTGTGTCACATCTAAATTTTCCTTGCTCTGACTAAAGCTGCTAGAATAACAGTGAAAAGAGAATTCTGCATATTAAAATTATTCTATGCAGTAAGTGTTTTTGGTTAGATTAGGTCTCAGACTTTATATAGGCATCAGATGTTTTTGTGTGCAACAGCTTCTTCTTAAGGGCTAATAAACATTAAATTTAGAAGTGATTTCCTTGTGCTGAAGTAAGATAAAGGAAGTAAAACCAATTTCAGAATCAGAAAGGAGGAGGTAGTTTCCTGTATAATATATATATATAAATAGAAATAATAACAATCAGATATTTTCCATTTGTTTTTCAAACATAAAAAGTTGAGATCCTGATGACAGAATTCAAAAATATTTAGAAAATTCTGGAAAAAATTCTTACCAAATGTTTTACCACCAAGTGTTAGTGAATAAGTCCCAAACACAGATAAATTATCAGCCTTGTAGTTCTCACCCACAAAAGTAAACCTCCTAAATAAATGGAATAACAAGTTTTAAGTGTCTTGGATTTGACTGAAACTGGGTCTTTTAAAACAAAGTGGGCTACAATTAGATGTGTCATTTTTTTTAATATGCTGATCAAGATCAAGACAATAGATTTCAATATATTTGCTATATTAAAGCATTATTTTTTTCCCTACAGAAATAAGTTATATGTTGTCTTAAATAAATGTCCAGTCAAAGCTTTCAAATTCATGCAATATTAAATTAATCATTTGATATTTGCAAGCATTGCAAGTGAAATAAAAATCACTGTGCTAACTTCTTATTTATATAATATGCCATGTTCTTTGGTTGATACATGTTTAATTTTTCACTGTATATGTCAGTATACATCTGGAATTATTCTTTCCAATTGAAATTTGTAATCTCAGGTAAAAAAAAAATATTTATAAAACATACAGTATATAGAACTACTGAGAAAAATAAATTACTGTCATGTGCTCGGTACATGCTAGATACCATGTTACCAATGGTACACAAATCCCACTTCATCAGTTATTTGTATAATAATAAAATAACTTAATCACAACCTTGTCAGTATCTTCCCTGGTGCTTAATATGTCATTGCTTGCTGTTCTTCTGCAAATTTCCAAACACTTCAGAAGGGTCAGAAGAGTGCCAAAACCCCCAAGTCCTCAGGACTTAAAGAAGTCCTTGTTACCATCAACAGTCTTGAAGAACAAGTACTGGCATGGGACTGCCTGAGCATCCCTGGAGTGCTTTGGGAGCTGGGTTACCCACCACCACGGCCTTTCTCTTTGTGGTCAAATTCTGGAACATATTAAATATTTTCCTTCTTCCAAATCAGAGGCACTGCTTTTTTTTTTTTTTTTTTTCCTTTTTCTGCAATTTCTGTGGAATTAAAATTGACAAACTCCTTAATCTTTCATTTAAAAAAAAAAAAAGTGCATTATTGCCTTTTAATGCAAATGTTTTTCTGTTTCTGATTCTGCCATTAGTTTCTGGAACATGTTGATGGAGATATTATGTCCATGTAAAGAAATCATTTCCCCATGGATGTCAACATTTCTCTTTCCTATATTTGCCGTTTGTCTTCCTGGCGCTCGTTGTATTCTCAAGTGTCTCTAAACTTTTCTCTTGCTTAGTCTTCCAAACTCCCACCACTTTCATCCTCATTTACATTGTTTTCTATCAGTTTCCTTCCACCCTTACTCCCTCTGAGATTGATATGCCTTCATGCATTTCTCAGCATTGAGCTCATTTTTGCTCAAATATTTTGCAAGTATTTGAGATGATCATGATGGCTTTTTTTTTCCTTTTTGCCATTAAGAAAGGAATTATATAACACACTTGTGGATTCTTTGATTTAATTCTATTTCTTTACACAGCAAACATGAAGTCCTGTCTCCCAGAACACTGAGGAAGCATTTTTGTTGCTTACATCAGGTTCACACTGTAAGTGCTTCTTTGACTTTTTCATTGTTTTCCACCATACTCTAGCCACCAAATTTTCACAGATAGCACTCAAAGCAATCCCCAGCTCATGTGTTTGCAGTCAGTTTTGTCTCTAGTCAGACATGACCATTTTAGTTCTCACTTAACAAAGAGCTGTAATTGCGATGTGATTGCATTTACATCAAAGGTATAGCTGCTCTGGGCCACCCAGCTTCTAGTACAGCACCACAGCATCCCACACAGTCCTGTAACCACTCCTTGTTCTGTTCCTTTCATGGATTCCTCTCTTCTGTACAGACATCATTTCCCTTCTGCTCCCTTTCTGGCACACTCCCATGTTAGCAATGAGACAAAGCAGCCACCTCTCCTACCCTGTGCCTCTGTCCAATATGTACCTTTCTTTATGCCCTGGAGCACTGACATTCTCCTCCTCTGCAAACAGATACTTTGAGATCAAGAAGAGGCTTGGCAAAAGGGCTGCCTAAAAGAAATTCAAAAACAGTTTTAACTACGCCATTAGAATGAGGTAATAAACACTAAATTTGTATTGCAATAACTTGTGAGATCCATTTAAAACCATTTTGCTTTAACAGTTCACATTTCGTTTGCTGTTCTTATCCCCTCTCTGCAAAACCAAAAATACCTGGTGGTTCCTCTGAGGAAAAATCTGGGAAGTGGTGATCCTAGGAGATGCATGTTCCAGGGCTGAAAGACTTTCTGACAGCCACCAGGAAGCAGCCCAGTTCTATTAGCCAGGCCATTCTAGTATTGCAAAATGCAGAGTATGTGACATATTCTTAAAAAAGGATTCTCTTTGATGTTTAATCTTTGAATACTTCCAAGCTTAATCAACAACAAGGGAGATTTAATCCATTAAAACAGACAGCAGGTAACAAGCAAGCTCTAACTGAAGTCCAAGCGTTAGAAAGACAAATCACTTGGTAGGAGAATTGCCTTGTTTACCAGGTTTACATTGCTTGCCAAGTTTAGAGCTTGACATTCTTCATTGATCTCAGACCCTGGGAGAGATTAAAAAAAGCTTGAGAAGAAGGATGCCCACTTACAGTTGACACAAAGAATGAAGAACTTACAGGCCACAGGGCCATTTGGCAGAACTCACAAAGTAAGGCAGCTCAGCAGCTGTGCTGCAATCAGCTCCGACTGTGTAAAGGGTAGTTCTGGCAGGGGGAGATCCTGACCACCAACTCATGGACCAGTGACCCAAGAAACGTAGTGGATCAAATGAGAAAGATTAAACACACTCACTAATTAGCATTAGAAGCAAGAGAATCATTAACGATCAGAAGACAGAAAACTAATTAATAAGAATGTAACCTGTGGCATAAAATTTATATAAAATACATAAATAGTGAAGTGTTGATAGTTGGGGTGTGATTTATGGAATACCCCCAAAAATTCAGGCCCACACAACTCTGAAATAAATAATATCTCTCTCGAGTGTGTATTTATTGGCTAATTGCATGCCAGGTAACTAATCTGGCAGTTTTGGGGGATAAGGGGCAGAGGCCCAGAAGTAAAGGCACGGTTCAGGCCCCACGGGCCTCACGGACTTTGGTAAACCTTGGTGGAGCCCAAGGAGCAGTTTCAATCTGAGAAGGGACTTGACTTGCAGGTGTATGTCCAGGCCGGCTCTGCACAGCTCTTTGGGCTGGCCTGCCAAAGGCAAGGAAGCAGGAGGGTTGGGGAGGGCATCACTGCTCAGCCCCAGACGGCCGGGGCCAGCACTCCGTTCCACGCTGGGCCAGGGAGCAGCCCCGACCGCCCCGACGTCTGCAGCCCTTCCTCACAGCGGCTGTGTGACGCGTTTCAAGCACTAAGGGGCCACGTAGGTTGCGTTTCAGCCTGTAGGTCACCACAGACAGACGGACAGATAGACGGACACACGGCCCGGCCGGTCCCATCCTGGCCAGCAGGGGGCGCTCCCCGCGCCCCTCCGCCCGCCCGCCCACGGGCGCCCGAGCCGGAAGCGGAAGCGGCGCGCGCCAGACCCGGGAGCGAGAGCCGCGCGCCGCCGCCTGCCGCCGCCGCCCGCGTCATGGCGGCCCCGGCGCTGCCCCCGCTGCCGCCGCAGCTCAAGAGCATCCAGCACCATCTGCGGACCGCGCAGGAGCTGGACAAGCGCGAGCCCGTGGTGGCGTACTACTGTGAGTGAGGAGGCGGCCGCGGCGCCGTCCCGCCGGGCCCGGCCCGGCCCGGCCGCCGCTGCACCGGGCGGAGCGCTCCTCCCCTGCCCGCCCGGGCTGCCCGTGGGGTGTGCGGAGACGCGGGGGCGAGCCCCACCTCTGGGCGGTGCGGGGTGGTCGCGGTGTGCCTCGGCTGCTGCTACAGCCCCACCCGCCCGTGCTCTGCTCCGCGCTTGCCGAGTTCAAGGCTCTCGGCAGGCGCAGCGCCCATTCCCGCAGCCCCAGCGCCTGCTGCTGCTCCACAGGGTCCTGATGGGACAGTCCTAAAAAGTATGGCAAAAAATAACATTCAAGAGCCTTTTCAGCGTTTCTGTTTTCCTGGAAAGATATCCCTTCTGTCCTGTGTAACCCTGAATAAGTACTTTGAGTTTGAGGATCTTTAGTGCTGATAGAAGCTTTAGTTTTCTTTTTTGGGGGGCTTTGTCACTTTCTCGAGGCTCTCAAAGGGAGTGAGTGGTTTTCTCGTTTTCTGCTTCTTTCACTGAAGTGAACACAGCAAAACCTTACTGTAAAACTTGGAAATTAATATGTAGGTTTTTCAAGCTTATGTGACTTCTAAGCTAATGTTTGTTAGTGTGGACTGTGAGCCTTTCTAAAAGACTTTGCATAGTGAATTAAGAAATGCCAGCTTGCTGTTAATTCTTGTTACAGTTAAGACACATTTGTAAAGAGCCTAAGACTAGCAGATCACCAGGAATGTTTGTTTATGTTGTTGACAACCCACTCTTAAGGGAAAGGAAGATGACTTATCACAGCGTTGGTATTTTTATTGAGATACGAGGTCTTTCGGTGGGTTTACTTGGCTTGTCTTCAAGAAGAATGAAATAAAAAATAGATGTAGAACTGGTAGTTTTTCTTCATAAGGTGATCCTAATTTAGAAGAATGAATTAGTGAAATCTAGGTTTCAGATAGCTCTGAAAAAATTGTCGTCTGAGTGACAGAACGATAATTTTACCTTTTCTGTGTTACACAGGAATAGTGTGCTAACATGGAACAGTGTGACCAGGATGGGGAGGTAGCCACATACTAGAACGCTGGATGTTCTCAGTAGTACTCGTTTTTTATGTACTGGAAGAACACTGGACAAAGTGACACTGTGTGGCAGGAAGCACCAGCTAGGACAAGTTGCACTGGGAGGTTTTTTTGTTTGTTTTTCTTTATTTTTTTTTTATTTTTCTGTCAGATGTAGCACCCTGTCTGGCTATACAAGAAAAAGACATGCATTAGTGTAGGTGATAAAATACAGGTCTGTTTTAAACCAGAAATATTTTGGTGTGTGATCTTTATTTTTCTTTGGTTTTTGCATTCTGAAACTTAAGTCTTAGTGTGGAGGAAAAGAAAAGCCTGTGTTGGATAATTACCATATTCTGTAAGGTCGTTTGCCTTGTCTGTCCTAAGTAGTACGAAATTTTTATTTTTTTATTTGAGTACTTCAAGACATCTGGTTCGTTACTGAATATAGCAAAGACTGTATTCTAGAGGTATCTGTTTCATTACAGTATTACGTAAAGTAAAAAGCACTGACACCTCTTTTTCAAGTTAGGTCTTGCTCAGATCCTTTGTTTTTTTAAATACACAGAGGAGAAGACTTTGTTTTCACCAGTGTTGCACTGATGACACTTGTTTCCTCCTGTGGTGGATGCATTTGGATTGATGAAAATGCAATACTCCTGCTCCATAGTTGTTTTTTTTTCTTCATTTAGTTCTGGCTTTGAAGCAAAAGTAAGGTTTATGAACCATTAATTTTTAACACCATGGGTTTGGAATAATTACATGGAATCCCAAAGTATTAATTATTAATATTGCTACTGTCAAAAAAAATGTACTATATATACTCCTAGCATGCTATAAATAATAAAAGCCTTACTAAAAAGATTGATTTTTAGAAGTGTAGAGCAGGGAATACAAAAAAATTTTAGGATTCCTTTTGCATAACGTTTTGAAAACCGTGCGGATATATGTAGGGTTAAAGCAATGCTCCTCATTAGATGCTTCACTGAAAAAAGTGAGTGGAGCCTTTGAAAATGGGTTGCAGAGAATCTCTACACATTTTATACAATGTATTGCGTGGAAGGAATAGAGTGTGGAAAGCTCTGGGTGCACTGGTGGATTGTGTGGTGTTCTCTGCACTGGCACTTCTCCACCAGCCTCACCTGCAGGCACATGCCTGGCACCCTGCGTGTCCCAGGACCGGGAGGCTGCTGTGTCTGGGATCCTGCATGTCCCAGGACCAGGGGGCTGCTGTGTCTGGGATCCTGCATGTGCCAGGACCAGGAGGCTGCTGAGGCACAGCAGAGTGCTCCCTGTGCTGAAAGGCCGCGTTCCATCACAAAGCTGCTTACACAGCCACTCTGTGAGTGGGATCATTGGTTAGCTAGTGGATGTAGCCATCAGTCTGAACAGTGATGTGCTTAGAGCTTTGGAATGTTGATTCATACCCAGAAAAAAAGCTTTGGACACAACATTATTAATGTTGCCATGGCACAGTAGTTTGCAGTATGGGCATATGTATGCTAGATTTTGATTTATGTTAATTTTAGTTAAATTGCACTATTATATGTCTAATAATAAGAGTTGTGACACAATTTAATTTGAGGATCAGAGGCAAGTGAACTCTGGCAAGATGTGTTTGTAACATAAAATTTTGCTTTCTAAAGCTTAGCAATAAAATTTTCAGAGAAACTACTTACTACTTTTGTTAATGTTTTTGTCTCTCATCATAGGTGCTGTAGGTGTACTCTTAAAGCTGGGAATTTATATGGCAGTTACATGATTTATTTACATGCACCATTTTTTTTTCTCTTGTGTTGTAGTGCATTTTGAGCATTAAGCTAGCATAAACCAGTAATGCCACCTAAAGAAAATGCTGTAGTCCTTCTCTGGCCTCTCATTCCCAACCCTAGAGTGCTTTAGAAGCAAATGTGGATGTAATTGTATGATGAAAGACAATAATAAGCTATTTTTCAGCCAGGCCAATTCACTGCTGCTTAAACAGCTGTGTTCCCACACGGACAAAGAAAAGGAGCAAGACACAGTGGCTTGGGGCAAAGGCAGGACTCCTGCTTTTTTGGTATTGCAGGCATATGTTGATTTACAGAAACTGTAATTTAATTAACGTTAATCTGTTTTACACAATATAAATAGCTACAGCGGGGATAATTTGTCTTTTTCAGTTGCCACATAATTTTCCACATGAAGAATAAAATACTGGGCATTGATGTTCTTGTACACTGTAGCACAATACTTTTTGTTGTGGTACTTCCACATTGCAAAAATTAAGAAACTGGTTTATTGATGGTAATCCTGTGTAATCTATAAAAAACCTTTGTTCTTAATCTTTTTTTAAGTATTCAGATTCAAAGAATATGATCAATAGCTTAATATGTTGTGTATAATCTGTTACCTTTTTTAGCCCTATCTATTGTTAGAAGATGGATGTAATTGATTGAAATAATTAATTTTTTCCCTGACAGTGACAGCACCATAAATTCACATGGTTGTAACATTTCTTCTACCCAGAAAACAGACTCTAGAGAAATAAAGAAACCAAGTTTATTTTTTACAAATTTTAGTAGGACATGATTTTACAAAATAATTATTTTAAAGAGGTTTGACACTTAATGGTTAATGTAAGTATCCAGCACTCTGGTAATCTACCACCTTATTTTAAAATGCTTTACTCCCCATAGGATACTTTTTTTACTTTTGTATTATTTGTTAATCATTGTCATTAAGTATGTAGCTATTTCAGGTGCAGTAAATGTCAGTTTATTCAGCAGATATAATGGAATACCTGAAAAGTATGCTATTTTGGTTGCCTAGCAAAGGGCAAATATGTAATTGGTAGTCAATGAAATAATTTTTTATGTTAAAAACTTACTTGAATCTAACTGTTTGACTACTTTGAGGTGTTATTTGCAGACACAAGGAGGCAGGCTCCGATAAAAAAAATCTCTGGCCTGTAATAACTGAAGAAATCATATCTCCAACTGTAGCATAGGCACAGTTTTTTTAAAAAAAAAGTTATTTTTTAAAAGAAATATTAACTTTTTTTACTTACTGGAAAATTACTAAAATTTACTTTTTTTAAAAGTTATTTAAAAAAAAAAAATTGCAAGGTTTGAGACATAACTGTATTTTCCAAAAAATTAGAGTTAAAAGCAAGATTTTCCTTAATGGCTGTTGTTTCAGCCTTCCAGTCACATTATTAATCTCTTCGAAAAGATGAGTGGTAGTCTGTACTTACTGGACATTGATGTTCTAATTCAAAAGTATTGAGAGAATTCCAGTGCGTTGCCAGAAAAGGACTGATGTTTCATGTTTGGATAATCAATGAATTCATGTGAGAAATTACGATTCTGGGAACTTTCAAAAAGCAAAGTGTGGTGATTTTTACTTTACAGTCTACTAAACATCAGGAAACAATTATGTTAGATCAGTAGATATGATCTGTATAAAAGAGGCATGAAAAAATTTTTATTTTTAATTCTTGAGATGGAAAAACATCAGAGAAATGCTTCCAACGGATCACACTCTTGTATTAGCATTTGTGGTTTTCTAAGACAAAGCAGGAGAGAAAAGCAAAAGAGACAACTTTTATTCCACAACTAGTTGACAACTTCTTGAACCAAAAATCATTCAGCTTTTAACAGAAATATCCATCTGTTAAATGTGACTGGCTTGTCACTTTCAAGTGTAGTCAGATACCTGTGAAACAAACTTCTCTCTGCATACAAATTCTAAGATTTTTTTTAGTACTATTATTATTACTAAGAAAAAATTGACTGTGAAGTTCATGGCTTGACTAAAAATTTGGGAAATATAGTTATAGCAATTTTACTACTGAAATACTGTTATTTTTTACCAATTCTTATCCTTTACCAATCCAATTAGTCCTTCTTAATAGGAAGGACTAATGATGGTCAAATATTTTACTTGAGCTTTTAAATGATTCAATCTT